CGATCTACATAAATGCGTCTATGTTCGCGCGAATCATTCGTGAATCGTGATCCAGCTTCACCTACAGAAGAAGTGAGTATAAGTGTTTTTTTAATGAATCTTTGTAAATCGCCTTTCCTAATAATGTGCTATTTAATTCGTGTGCTGTTCTGACACGAGTTATTTCTGAGCGCGTACACCTGAATCGCGCACACTAAAAAAGCGCCTGATTACTGGACCAAGTTATCTTTTGTGTCTGATTGCACGAATACTGTCAAAAACACACAAGAGTTACATATAAACACAGCTGGTTATGTCTAAAGTGAAAGTAAACTGTTGAGAGAAAAACGTATGCGTGCCTGTATATCAGATGCGTGCAGGTCTTAAAGTGACAGCAGACTAATAGTACTAAACATGCTGCCGCTTGTAATTAAAGGGATAGTTCACCCAAAAATTTTAATTATTTACTCATTCTCATGTTGTCCCAAACCTGTATTAATTTATTTTTTGGGTGAACTATCTCTTTAATTACAAGCGGCAGCATGTTTAGTACTATTAGTCTGCTGTCACTTTAAGACCTTTAAAACAACAAAACACAAAGAGAAATGTAGTACTTTAATAGTTACTGTAATAAGAATCAATGTATAATTTATACAGTGAAGTATAGTGTTTTATTTTTATATTTGTTAATTTAATTTCTTGAATGCTACTGCTAAATACACCTACTGTACCTGCAAAATAAAGCAATGTCTGTTTTATTTGTATATTATGTGTCTTTGTCATTATTTTAGCTTTGTTCAAAAAATAAGAACAAAGATTTTATCTTCGCCCACCTTGGCCTAAATATCTGCCATTCTTTTTTATTTTATATTTTGTCATATATTTGACAATATTTTGTCTTGGTTTCTAAAATAGGGAAATTAGTTTGCCTGCACTGCTCAGACAACTTGCAAAATAGTAAAACCAAGATGATAAAATCTCGTGATATGATATTTTGCCATATCAGTACCCTACTCAGCAGGGACCGAAAAGTTGAGCACAATTACGCAAAGCTTTTAGAGCAGAGCAACAATGCAAACCGCAGGAGATGAGCTCTGAGTTTGGGATGTAACTCAATATTTGAGGGTTCGAAAGTGATGCAAGAAATGTAAAGGTCTCACCGTGTCTCCAAGGGTCCTTTGGCTCAACCGCACCCGAGACGATGTCTTCGTCTGATGGAAAGGTCACCCTTTTGGACCCGTGCTTAATCCCAGCTCCATTGCCTGGTGTTGTAGCCGCTGACGTGGTTTCTGAGGACACATCCTCACGACGTTCTTCCGGAGGTTGCTGTGAATGCAGTTCTATGTCAGCTTCTGATGTTAAGGAGTTTTCACAATGAGAGGCACTTTCCTCATTTTGAGTCTGAGCTGTTGGCTCGAACTCCAAAACGCCATTTTCATCCAGACTTAAATCCACACCGATATCCATCTCACCACCATCATCATCCCCGTCATCTCCAACCGGTGGTGCCTCAAACTTGCTTGTATTCTGTTGCAAATCACCGGCAGAACCGTTAACAGGGTCGGCTGACACCGCAACAGATCCGTTGTTTTTACTATGTGGTGCTTTGAGCTCAGAAGAACCATCATCCTTGGGATGGACGTCTTTTAACCTGGTCAGGACGGTAGCGTCCCTTTCCCCCAGATCTCCATCCATCAGCAGGAGGCCGTCACGGGGAAGGATCTCGTCCACGGGTTGTGATATAGTGTTGTCAGGCACATTGCACAAATCTATAGCACTGCACAAATCTACAGCTTGTTCCTCACAATTCATCTTCTCATTTCCAGGGAGCTGGAGCACACGCCGCTGCCTGTCAAAACTAAGAGAAGTTCCCTCAATCACCTACAAAACAGTTCAATCCTCTCAAACCCAGTTCAATATTTCCTTAATAAGCGCATTGCATACTAAAAGCTCACATCATAGCTGTAAACAATCTCTTATTTATGCACCTCACTCAATTCATACGGTCGCTAGTATTGATTTAAAGGGTTGCATAAGGCATTTAACTCTATCCTGTCTTGATTCGTTTCTTTAGCAATCCTAAGAAAGTTGTAAACACCTACAACATCTTTCAAAGTCAATCTGAATCAGTTTAATCCGCATTAAGAGAGAATATCTCACATCATGTTGACAACATTGTGCTCTTTAGGTCCCTGTCCACCATTAATACTGTTGCTTTCCTCTCATCGTGTTCAAGAATAAGTTAAGCACTGACAGATGTATTTAAATCTGAAACATTAGATTATAAAAACCAGGCGTGGGATGATGAAGGTGATGATGAAGATGACGAAGATGAAGCTTTCTCCACCGGCCTGCTCTCCTACAGCAAGACGACTAAAGTACTAAAACTGACTCTTTAAGCCAATGAAGTAAAGTGCAACAGCATGTTTAAGGCTCCAGGAGTGTTTTAAAGCTGTCAAGACGAGGGATCCTGCTCTGTCACTTTCCGTGTCGCAGTGAACACAAATAAAAACAGGCGTCGCGCTCCGGAGCACAAACACCGCCACAAACGGCCTCGTCTGCTGCGTGTAAACAGTCTATTCCGGCCGCCTTGTGTGAACGACGTTAAACAGATCGCTAAAACGCGCAGGCAGCGGGGAAAAGAGAAAAACCGTGGCCCGGTGTAGCTCCGGTCCGGACCGACCGCGCGTCTGTTGACTGTTCGCAGCTACGTCATCGCCCCAGGATGGAAAAGCGAAGGAGATTTTAGCGGCCGCACTTTCGGCGCTTCAACTCGAGCGCTTGTTTATGAGGACGTGTACGAAATAAAATCACAAAGTTGCTTGTGTGTTATGTTTCTGTGGCAGCTTTTCGTTCGCAGCACCTGGGGCTATCACAATTTATCTAGATTGGCAGTTACAGTAAATCACTCTAAAAAATAGTTAAACGAATCAGTTGACATTTGAACTTTGCCAAACAGCTGGCGCGTTGGATGCGTGTAATAGAGAAAAACATATTGCAGATTTATTTAGTCATTTATTTTACCCCTGCATTAATGTTTTTTTTTATGGTTCTTTGTATATTGTTTATATTATATATCTTGTTGTAATCTGTTTTGATCTGTACATGTGTGTATTTACCTTTATATAGGCCTATGTTCAATACAAAAAATAAATAACTAAAGAAAGAAAGAAAAAGAAAAGAAAAAAACTAAAATAAATAAATAAAGTTTGATTTAGTCTATTAGGTAAATTACATATATTTAGAAAAATAGGCACTTTGCAAACCATATACTTCATATTTTATAAATAACGTCGAATAATAGGCCTATGTTAAACTTTTGGGGGTTAGGGTTGGGGAGGGACTAAGTTTGGCATTAAAATAATTTTCTGGTCATAACAATCCCATCTGCATCTGAAACGGAGAATGATGTGCTCCTCACCTTGCATCTTTTTAGTATTACGGTAGTTTTAAATCTTTATGAAATAGTTTTATAAATCCTTGCTCTCTTCAGTTGAAAAAAAAACTATATTTTTTCCTATTTTTTATTTTACTGTATATGGTTTTTTGATGGTTTAAAGTAGACCTGAACATGAGTCTGTGTTCACTACACAATCAGTTAATCCATCTCAACACTAGAGGTCAGCGACACCTCAATTCTAATCTAATTTCTAATCTAATTCTGATCTCTACATGCCATAAAATAACAATACTGATGCCAAATAAACAGTATTCCAAAGTAGGAATATATGTGAATGCTTTGCTGTACCTGTTTAGCACTTTACCACAATAGATAGAATGAGGGAGATCTATCTATCTATCTATCTATCTATCTATCTATCTATCTATCTATCTATCTATCTATCTATCTATCTATCTATCTGGCTAGCTATATATCTGTCTGTCTGTCTATCTATTATCTGTCTGTCTATCTATGTAGCTAGCTAGCTAGCTATATATCTGTCTGTCTATCTATCTATCTATCTATCTAGCTAGCTAGCTATATATCTGTCTGTCTGTCTATCTATCTGTCTATCTATCATCTATCTATCTAGCTAGCTAGCTATATATCTGTCTGTCTGTCTGTCTATCTATCTATCTATCATCTATCTATCTATCTAGCTAGCTAGCTACCAAAACAAATAATCACAAATGGCTGTTTCTTGACATCAGAGATTCCCGCCTCCCTCACGCCGGACTAATATTTTATACCATAGTGGCCCTTTGTGGGCCCTTGGTGGCCTGTTCTCCGTCTCACGACCCATTTCCAGTTGAAATATCAACAAGCCTCGACACTCAAACCTCTTAGCACTATTGTATACCTCTATTACAATTCTGAAATTACTAACCAAACCATTTGAACGTTCAGGCTCTAATTCTTCAGGCCTGTCTAATGTGCGACGTGGCCCTTCATCTGTGCAGAAGACAGAAACAATTACCAGAACACTTCTGCATCCTGGGGCTGCAGCTGTAACGCAGTTAGCAGCGGTTTAATTTAGCGAAGACGAGAAACAGAGACCTCCCACAGGTGGCTGAAAGTAAATATTTTAACATCAAATTGGAGGCACTCGCTTAGCTTGTTTTTCAATGCGATTTTTCTGGGCTTCCTCTGCAGTTATTAATGGCTATTTGTGCCACTGCCAGTGGTCCGGTTTGAGGAAAACCAACTGCATCCTGTGCGCATTTTCTTTACCCGACCGTGAAAAGAAACTGAGAGCAAGTGTGGGAAACTTTGAAGACTGAAGCCTTGCGATGTGGCATAACCGCGCTTCGGTTCATTTCTGACAGACCCTTCAAGATGACTCTTCCTCTGTCAGGTGTGGACATGCCTTATTTGACACCACAGGAAACCACAGATCTGTTTGAACTTCCTGTAAGGTTGCCATGGCTGCGCTTTTTAAGTGTCCCTCAGCATTTGATTTATTTTGCACATTGCGCGAAATGAAAACGGATCCAACAATGATTCTTGTCATAGGGGAGGCTGCCGTCTTTGTCAGGACATTACTCATGCGCTCTTCTCCATAGATCCATTCAACTGACATCAGTTTTAAGATTTCTGCAATTTATCTGCGCAAGCCATAAGAAAGCCATAGGTCTTGTGGAGGTTTTAGACTCGAAGAAGGCGCTGGGAGCATTGGGGAAAATGTTGAGTGTGTTTATCCCATCCATCTCTTTGTGAACTGAAAACAGGACATCACAGGAGAAAATTCAGTCTTAATGTTTGTGTTGGCTTTCCTCGAAGTGTGCGGTGGGTTTCAGGGTGTGTCTTGAAATGATTTTCGACAGAGCGGCTCTTTCCACCTGTTTCTGCACACCATCTATCAGGTGTGTGTGTGTGTGTGTGTGGGTGGGAGGCAGGTGCTTGGGAATGGGAGCGCTTTTACTGTTGGGCTGTCAGGGAGGCCCGAATCTCCCCCAGCCAGCTGTAAATCCACAAATGTGGCGAGTTGGAGGATGTTACTCTTACTTTATCTCAGGTCGGTTCACTCGGTGCTTTGCTTTATGGAGATATCAGGCAGAAGCTGGGGGAGAAGGCATTGGGTCCCAGGGAAAGAATTCATCTTCTAAATAAACCAAATCCAAGAGTTAATCGCTAATGCTTTTCACACACTTAGGGAGTGAGAATGAGGCTTCGGTCAATGAAGTGTTAAGACTGCCTTCTTTTAGCTGTACTACATGGACTTTATTAAAAAGATTCATGTTTGTTTGCTTTAGATTTCATGATTGCGGTTGCTAAGGCGTTTTGAATAACTGTCAAAACAAGTAATTTATTTGTGAGACACTCCTTGCTATTTATAAAATACATGTTATAAACATGTTATAAAATTTATTTCATACAAGCTATAAGTTCAACTTGAATATACAACCTGAATATACAATATATATACCATTGAAAAGTTTAGGGTTAGTATTTTATTAATTTTTTTTGAAAGAAATTAAAGGAATAGCTCAGCCAAAAATGAAAATTTCCAAGATGTAGATGAGTTTGTTTCTTCATCAGGTTTGGAGAAATGTAGCACTGCATCACTGTCTCAGCAATGGATGCTCTGCAGTGAATGGGTGCCGTCAGAATGAGAGTCCAAACAGCTGATAAAAGCATCGCAATAATCCACAAGTAATCCACACCACTCCAGTCCATCAGTTAAGAATCAAATCCAACTTTAACTTTAAACAATTTCTTTCTGCTAAAATCAATAATCTATAGTCTTTTATCAATAATGCTGCTTTCTCCCGTTAAAAATATGTCTAGTCTGAATCTGGAGAGAAATCTGCACAGATCAGGCACTTCAGTTTACAAGCCAAAACCGATGTGAGAGATCAACAGGAGATATAGACTTTTTCACGGAGGAAGCGTTATTATGGATTGTGGACTCATATTTTGGCCAGAAGCAAATGCGTTTTCTTACAAACGCATAACTTTTGTCTTCTCCAGATGTTAACTGATGGACTGGAGTGGTGTGGATTACTTGTGGATTATTGTGATGTTTTTATCAGCTGTTTGGACTCTCATTCTGACGGCACCCATTCACTGCAGAGCATCCACTGCTGAGACACTGATGCAGTGCTACATTTCTCCAAATCTGATGAAGAATTAAACTCATCCTAATCTTGGATGGCCTGAGGGTGAGGATAATTTCAGCAGATTTTAATTTATGGGTGAATTATTCCTTTCTTTTAATACTTTTATTAAGCAAGGATTCATTAAATAGACATTCTAAATGCATTTTTATTTTGATACAAAACGTTTCTATTTTAAATAAATGCCATTTTTAACTTTCTATTAATCAGAGAATCATAGAATTAATTCAACATCTTTCTTAAAGAACAGCTGATCTAAATCTGCCTTCATCCAGCTGAACTACATGGACTTTATTAAATGTGTTCATGTTTGTTTACTTCAGATTGAATGTATGCGGTTGCTAAGGTGTTCTGAATGGCTGTTGGTGTGTTTCTATGTAATTACAAGATTATTGCTTGGTGGTTTCTTACCGGACCATGTCAAAACAACCCATTCCAAAGTCACACAGATCCCTTCTTAAATGTAAATCTCTGGTATTTTTTATTTTCTCTCCTGTTTTAAGTCTGGCCACTTAGAAAAGTAATCTTGTCAACAAGCTGCATGATTTAAGGTATCAAGTCAACCATGCATTTTCCTAGACTGCATTATTGGTTGTTTCAAAGATTGTTTTTCAACTTGAAAACCACATACAACAGTTCAAAGCCAAAGTCTTTGGTTTCATAAGCAATAATATTCAGTATGATTAATTGTATCATAACTCGACTGCATGCTCATCCTTACTGGCAATTGTCATGAAATCACGCCTCATATATAAATGAGGTACAATGAGTCTGAATGGCTCTCATCTCTCATCTCATCTCTTTTCATTCTGCTTTTTTATGGAGATGCATGTCCATGTTTATTTCTGTTACTATGAAACTAAGTACAGTGCGTATTGGACCACACGTTTGCAAGAGAGCGAGAGCAACATAAAGGTTAAGTTTCATGTTTTCCAGTCCCTAAGGACACTCTTTATAAACAGGCAAACATTCTGGGCTTGTGTGTAATGAATGCATATACACGTGTATTTACACAGATGGTACATATTTAGAGAACCTTACATGAACACACACATGGGATAAATGCAAAGTGTCAGTCTATAAATAAATTCTAGGCTGAATTCCTATGACTTGTTTTAGCACAAGGAGAAATATTCATAAACACCTTCATTAGGGGTCATTCGTGGGACAATATGAAAT